CAGAGGGAAAGCATCCCTCAGGAGCTGCTCAGGTTGGGGTTCATGCCCAGGTTAAGAGCAAAGGCCAAGAGAGAATCCCAGAATTATTCAGGAAAAACTCTCTGAGATGGAATTAATCCAGCACTGCCAAGGCCATCGGTGACCTCCAAAGCCACCAAATGTCACCCAGGCAGTGACAGCCCAGTGTTTGATCCCAGGATCAAATCCAGGAGCTGCCAGAGCTCAGGGCTGGGCAGGAATTTCTGCTCTAAACAAATCCCAGGAGCAGCCCTGGGTTGGCTTTGATCAACATTTGCTGGGAATTCTGCACGTCTTGGGGAGGAACGTGGTTCTGCTAACCCTGCCTCCCAAATCCCAATTCCTGGAAAGGCTGGCATTATTATTGTCCCTTTTTTTGGTCCTTGTCACCTTTTCTAGCCACACTCATTCCCAGGGACATCTCATGCCCAGCTCAGGCTGTCCTCAGCAATTTTGGCAGCAGGTGACATTTGGCTCTGCTGTGTGCTGACCCTGGGGACAGCACGGTGACAATTTGGGGACCAGGTGACATTTGGCTCTGCTGTGTGCTGACCCTGCCTCCAAAACCCCATTTTCTTGAATGATTTGCATTATTATTGTCCCTTTTTTTGCCCCTTGTCACCTCTTTCAGCCACATTCATTCCCAGGGCCAGCCCAGCTCGGGCTGCTGGGGACACCAGGGTGGCAATTTGGGGACCAGGTGACACAGGACCCTGGTGCTGGGTTGTGGCTCCTCCTCTGCACCATCCCTACCCTTTGTTCATCCCCTTGCTTTGCTATTATTAACTCGATCATCATCGTTATTATCGTTATTATCATAATTATTAATTGTCATCATCATCACTATAATCATTATCTGCACTGCTATTTTATTAGCATGTTGTTATATATTACTACTATCTATTATTATAGCTTTTGGTTTTGGTTGATTTTGTTCTGTTTTATTTTATAAATATTACAAATGTTAAAATCATTTATTTAGAATAAAGCATTATAGTTTAGAACAAATCATAACAGTAAATTATTATAATTTGAAATAATTTGAAATAATTTATTATAAAGTATAATAATAAAGTATAATGTATTAAAAGTATAATAAAATATTACTATTTTATTATAAATTATAGTAAAATAGTAATGTAATATAATATAAATTATTATACTTTATAATAAATAATAATAAATTATTATAATTTGTATTTTATTATAAATTCCCTTTTTTCTCCCCTCTTTTTTCTCCCCCTCTTTTTTTATCCCTTTCCCCTTTGCACATTCCCAACCCAATCCCTCTGCTCTCAGAGGAGCAGGACATCCCTGGAACGCTCTGGAATTCCCAGGATTTCTGTTTGTATTCCGTGCATTACTCACATCCCAAACCACCCAAACTGAAACTTCCCTTGGCGGCTCCTCCCGTAAATATTTGGTTTTTCTTGGAACCAAACTGCAATTTAGGGCTTTGGGATTTTCCTTAGCCTCGGGACAGATCCATAATAACCAGGATCCCGCCAAATCCCAGGGGTTAAAATCATGGGTTAAGTCTCCAAAATCCCCTGAGTGGCTTAAAAATAATAAGATTATGGGAAAATAGTGCCATGATCTTGCTTCTGTTCAGTTCCTGGGTGTCAGGCCTGTGGCTCCGGCCTCTCTCCCACATGGAACGAGGATCGGGATTGGGAATATTTAAATGGAGCTGCTCCCTCTGGAGCACTTGGGAATTTGGGAATTGTGTCCTTCATTCCAAGCATGGGATGAAAACCATGAATTTGTCACAGTGGTGATTCCATCCCGGATTGGTTTTGCCGTGTTTATTGCAGGAATATTTGTAGGATTTGGGAGAGGGGTGGTGGAGATCCATAATAACCAGGAGGCTGCCAAATCCCGGTGGAAAACAACAGCTTAAAATCCACTGAGTGGCTTAAAAAATAATAATATGGGAAAATAAATTCCATAAATCCCACATGAAACTGGCAGGGAGAGTCAGGAGTGTCAGGAATGGAGCCAACATTTGGGGGCAGAGCCTGGGTTTTGTGGTGCCGCTTTTAAACTCGGGACTAAATTTCAGCCTAAGAGGTGCTGTGGGTCCCTCAGAGAAACCAGGAGCCCCTTCCCAATCTGGGAATTTGAAATCTGGGAATCTGAGCGTGGCCCAGGTGCTCTGAGCTGTGTTTTCCCTGGAATTTCTGCCGGAGGATGGAGCACCGAGCGCTCCCTTTGGGATCTCTCTGCTTCCAGCGCGGATCCCCCTCGGTTCTTTCCCTTCCCAAGGATTTGGGAGCTTGCCCGAGCTGCTGTTTCCATGGCAACAGCCGCGTTCCCTTTTTTAGGGGATTTTCCAGGAGGGATTTGTGCCATCCCTCACCTGCCCTGGTTCCCCTGCTGGAAAAACGCTCCGGGAACATCCCTGAGGATGTTCTGTGGGAATTCCCTCTCCTGTCACATCCTTGCTCTTTCTGCTGCTCCAGGACTCTTTTTTCACCTTTTCCTCACTTTTTTTTTTTTTTTTTCTCCTCTTGGGGTTTTCCCATCCTACCAGAATTGGGATTTTCATCCCTCATCCCACCCTGCCAAGCAGCATCACCCCATCCCCACCTCAGGGAATTTTTTTGGGATATCTCCATGGGGCTGCTGGAATCTGGATGGCTTTGGGAGGCTCTGAAAAATCAGGGGTTCAATCCCAGTTTTTGGGGCTCCAGGGACTTCAAAGGGGGGAAAAATCTGCAAATATAATAAAGGAAAATTTTGTAACTGCAGGTGTAGGAGCCCTATTTACAGGGAGTTTTACATGGATCCCATCACTCCATGGAATATTGGGAATGGAATCTGGCTGGTTTTGGGGTTTTTGGGGAATATTGGGAATGGAATCTGGCTGGTTTTGGGGTTTTTGGGGCAGGATTTGGGTATTGGCTCTGTGGGGTTGGATTACCTCTGGGCTTCCAGTCAGGGAAAAACATCCAAACTGCTCCTAAAGATGAGAAAAATCAGGAAGAATTCATGGAAGGGAGGGGGAAATTAAGCTAACATTGGAATGTCAGCAATGGAAAAATCCCATCAGGAGCTTCTCCTGCTTCATTCCCAGGATTTTATTTCATTTATTTCTCAGGCTTCCTACATTTATTTCCATTTTGGACAAGTGGATTTCCAAGCCTGCCCTGTTGGTTCCCAGCTTTGAGGTATTTAATTAAAATTTTAAATTAAATTAAATTTATTTTCCAATTAAAGCCCCTCTAAAATAAGGACTTGGTTTTTGGGATCAGATTTTAGGGAGCTGCAAGCTTTGACCCCACTGATTTTTGCCTTGTTTTTCCATCTGGCTGAATAAGAACGTGCAAAACCAGTTTGAGACTGAAGCTCTGATCTGCTGCAATAAATTTTATCCTAAGCAGATAAAATCCCAGATAAAATATTCCTAAGGAATAAACATGGGAGGTTTTTTTATCCAGGAATTGCTGTTATAAGAAATAATTCAATGTCTGTGCCTCTCTCTGCCTCCCCCAGGTGTGGATTTGGAAGCACAAAGGTTTATTCACATCCAGATGTTTCCAATTATTTTCCCTAGAAACAGTTCTCTCGTTCCTGCTTAATTTGTGGAATTATTCCGTCTTTTTGTGGGATTTTTAATTGTCCTGCCAGCAGCAAACAGCAACTTTGGGCCTATTTTGCGCTGATGCAAAATCACCACTTCCTACTTAGATCAATTAATTATCGGTTAATTGAGCACTGACGGATCTGTAGAGGAATATGAGGGAATTTTGGAGACTGGAGACATCCAACTGGGGCCCTTTCCTTCTTTTTCATGCCCTCTGCATCCTGAATCCAAATTTCCTCATCCTTGGCCCCGTTTTGTCTTTGTCCATCAGGATGTAAAATTTGTCATTCCTTGAGGTGTGGGAATGGGGTTGGAATGAGAACCTCATTCCCATCAGGATGTGGATTTCAGAATGGAATCTGTCATTCCTTGAGATGTGGGAATGGGGTTGGAATGGGAGAACCTCATTCCCCCTCAGAATATGGATCTCAGAATAGAATTTGTCATTCCTTGAGATGTGGGAATGGGGTTGGAATGGGAGAACCTCATTCCCCTCAGAATATGGAAATTTGGGAATGGCTTTGGAAGAGAGGATCTCATTCCCATTAGAACGTGGATCTCAGAATGGGCTCTCTCCCTTCTGGAGATGTGGGAATGGGGTTGGAATGGGAGAACCTCATTCCCCTCAGAATATGGATCTCAGAATAGAATTTGTCATTCCTTGACATGTGGGAATGGGGTTGGAATGGGAGAACCTCATTCCCATCAGAATATGGATCTCAGAGCGAAATCTGCCATCCCTTGAGTTTTGGGAATGGGGTTGGAATCAGTGACCCTCATTCCCCCAACTCCAGAGGGAATCCAGGAGAGCAGGGTTGGCACTGGGCACTGCTCTGCTGGTGGTGCCCTTGAGTTTCTCTCTTGCTGTAGGATGATTCCTTGCTGAAACTCGGGATTTGGAGCCGGGAATTGCCCAGGAGGAGGGTGTGGATGGGAGGAGGGTGTGGATGGGAGGAGGGTGTGGATGGGAGGAGGGTGTGGATGGGAGGAGGGTGTGGATGGAAGGAGGGTGTGGAGGTGTCCCCTGCCGAGGCTGTGCTGTCCTTAACCCGGTGCCACCTGGTTCGAGCACGTGAGCATGCTGGTGATCCTGCTCAACTGCGTCACCCTGGGCATGTTCCAGCCCTGCGAGGACGTGGAGTGCCAGTCCGAGCGCTGCACCATCCTGGAGGTGAGGATCCACGGCCCCAAAATCCCTGGGGTTTGTGGGGTGCAGGGCTGGGGCGGCTGCTCTGGGAGAACTGAAATTACAGAGCAAAATTCTGTGTAGTTTATGAAGGGGAAGTTGATTAATGAAGACAAGTCCCTCTGCAGCTCTCCTGGAGCCCCTTTAGGCTCTGAGGTTTCCCTGGAGCCTTTTCCAGGTGAACATTCCCAGCCTGGCTCCAGCCCTGTGATACCCTCGTGCCTTATCAGGCATGAACAAAAGCTGGGGGCTCTTCCCAAGGCCTGGAATGAGCCGGGAGCTGTGCCAGGGGCAGGTTGGATTTTGGTGATGGGAACATGGAATATCTCCATGCTGGGGGCACTCAGGACTGACTGAAATCCTCTTTTCCCGCTCTCCAGGCGTTTGATGATTTCATTTTCGCCTTCTTTGCCGTGGAAATGGTCATCAAGATGGTGGCCCTGGGCATCTTTGGGCAGAAGTGTTACCTTGGAGACACCTGGAACCGCCTGGACTTCTTCATCGTCATGGCAGGGTCAGCAACCTCCTCATCCCTCCATCCTGGGGCAGGGAAATCCCAGGGAACAAATCCCTGCCTTGTCCTGGCTGGGTCTCACAATGCCTTGGGAGGCAGAATCTCCCAAATCTGAGGTTTTAAAATCCTTACCCCCAAAACCACGCTGGGTTTGGGGCTGGGTGGTGAATATCAGGCAGAGCTGTGGGGGTTTGGAGCAATCCTTTAATCCTAACACATCCTGAGTGTCCCAGTGGTGTTATCTCCAAAAAATCAGCTCAGCCCCACTCCTGCCCCGTGCCAGCAGCACAGTGAGGCAGGGGTGGGGTGAACAAGGAAATTCAGCCCAAAAACCCCGTTAGGAAGGTTGAAATCTCTGTGGGGAAAAGCTGTTTGGGAGTTCACCCAAATTCCAAACTCCTCCTGGTTTACAGCTTCCCTCTGTCTCCCCCAGCTGCTGGTTTGTGCAGGATGTGTTAATAAACAGCTCCAAGGATGATCCTCCTGCTTTTGACACCGCTTCCCTCACCCCCACAGGGAATAACTGAGTGGAGTAAAAGCTTGGCAAAGCTCAAACTTTATTTTTTTTACCCAATAAATAAACAGCTTTGGAAAGCCCAGGCTCTCCTACCTGCCCAGTACATCCTGGGAAGGGATGGAAAGCTTTAATTACTGCCTGACTTCTGAATTCCTGCGTTTCTAATGACCAGCCCGGGGTTAATTAAAACATCCTTGGAATATGTTGGGGCGTTTTTCCCTTTCCATTAGTGCTGTGCCATCTTCCCTGCGCTAATGGGGTTTTGTTGTGCTCCGTGTTATTTGTCTGGAATACAATTAGGAATGGTTTTAGTGCCCTGAATAAAACATGAGCTCTCCTGAGCGGAGCTTCCTTGGAACTCGGGTGCACTTGGAGGAGGAACATCAGGGACAACAAAAAAACACCCTAATTATTAATTATTTTTACCTTAATTATGTTTTCCTATAAAGCTGCTGTGGTGTTTAAGGGAGGAGTGGCAGGGGAAGAGCAGGGAAAACTCGGATCAAGGAGCTGAGGGTGTTTTTCCACGTTGGATCTGTGGCATGAGCAGAAAATCCCCAGCTCCTCAGAGCTCCCCCAAACCCAGCACTGGGGCGCCCCATGGAGGCAGAAGGGCTGAGCCCTCTGCTCATCCTCAGGGGCAGCCTTGGCACTGGGAATTTTGCTGTTGGAGTGAGGGGGAAAGTGACTGGTGAGACCATTTGGGAGTTTTCCATGGTTTTTCTC